AATTTTTTATTATTTATATTTTATCAATTTTCTTCCTTCCTATTTGAATACTCAAATTTGTGAATTATAAGTAACAAAATCAAGTACTTAATTTATAACAACGATGATAAAAATGATTATAAAATATAATCGAGATAAAAAGTAAAACTACCTGAAGCATCAACCTATTTAAAAACAACTACCACAATATGAATAATTTTAAAACTAATCCAACAAAATGTAAAAAATCCACACATATATGCAAATGATTTCATTCATCATGATTAAAAAAATAATCATTATTTTTCAGGATGCCTGAATGACCAATTTTTTGTACAGCTTGCACCACGCTGATGAGGGCCAACAGCCCGAAACGCGTCCGTGGTTAACTTTTCTCGATTAATCAAGAATGGGTATTTGGCCAATTCTGGAATAATTAAAAATCAACGAGAATAGTTGATATTTATTCCGATAGATGGCGTAAGCCATCAGCAACTTTCAGTTACACGATAAGGAGATGTCGTTTTGATAATATATGCAAATATAATGATGATCTACTTTAAGCGATACCCATTATAGTTGAACTACTTGTAGAACTCTATAGCGGATGTATTTATAACATGGTGTCCCTTGTAAAATTATAGTTCTTTATTACATAAACACATTATGATTGCCTCTAGCTTGCTCTTGGGGAGAGAATTACATCAAATAAATTCAATTTTGAATTTGAACTGGTATATGTTACCGTTATGAAACTAGATATTTTAGTTCAAAGTAATGTGTAGAAATTAAAATAAGAGACCCAACATGATTTTAAATTTTTTCTTTTCACTGCCTATCTTTTGTTATTTTTCTTTAGTTTTTTTTCTAGAAATACAAATACGCTATATAACAAATCCCGTTTTTCAAATTCGTAAAGTCCCCGTTCTTCTGTTGAAGAGAATTTGAGAAATAAGAAGAAAGGTCTTAATAAAGGCTTATGTATATCATAGGTGAATATACTTTCTTTATTTTTTTTTAAAGAAAAAGGCATCTCCTTATCGTGCAACTGAAAGTTGTTGATGGCTTGCGCCATCTATCGGAATAAATATCAACTATTCTCGTTGATTTTTTAATTATTCCAGAATTGGCCAAATACCCATTTTTGATTAATCAAGAAAAGTTAACCACGGACGCGTTTCGGGCTGTTGGCCCTCATCAGCGTGGTGCAAGCTGTACCTCAACGACCAAAAAACTGGTCATTCAGGCATCTTGAAAAATCATGAAACGGGTAGTTAAGGCCAGAATTTCATGATGCCTTTTTCTTAATATATACACCTTATCTCAGTACAATATCACATTTGTACTATTTTTTCACATCCTTTATTTTCATCTTTTTGTTTTCCTTGTCATACAAATACGGGTATGATACTAATTGTCTTAATTAGGGTATATTTACACCATTTACATTATTATCTCGTTAAATTACAATAAATACTAATTAAGGTTTATTGAATTTTTTTTTTTAAATATCCCTAGGAAAAGTGGTGCAGACCATGATAATCATTATTGAGGCCACTTGAGGCCTTCTCCTCAATATTAAAAGGTGTCTCTTCTTTAACCTCGAGAGACGACCCAGTGCCTCTTTGTCCAATCCAGCTACCTGTGTCCAAGGGGAGAGGAAGGCTTGAAGGAAAGTCCACCACACGTACAGTCTCTTAATCAGAACTATATTTTTATTAAAAAACACGGTCAATTTATACATTAAGAAAATTTACATAATAATTTATACAGCAAAGAAATCTACATAACAATTTGTACAACAAAGAGATTTACATACTTTTTATCCCAGTTTAAAGTCAAACATATTTGCATAAAACTAAAGACGACCAATTTAGTGGTCGTAACAATCATGGTGGGTAGAAGTTGGCGACTGCTTTTATTGTAAGTGCATCACATGTCTACACACGTGAAAAGCAGTCCGACATTTGATCTTACAAGTGTGCTAGAGCCCCATTTGGTTACTTGCACTCCCTGATGGGGTTGTACTTTTGTAAAAAAATCAGGGGCCCATTGGAGCATTTTTTTTTTATTATTTAAAAAGTTCCCATTACGGGATTCGATACCGGGTTGTAGCGGTCAAAAAACCAACGGTTTAGATATACCGTTTATTGTAATACATCGAAAGAGTTACGATACATCCAGTAGAGTACAGCCAGCCTGAGTAGAAACAGCGTTTGTAAGAAGAATTCAGAGGAAAGCTTTAAATCGATTACGGCCTCGTTTCGTAACTGTGGGGCGGTTGGGAAGCCTTAACCTGGGAACGAAGCCCACATTGGGAGCTTTAATGGCTTCGACAGTTGCACCAGTCCTAACAACTTTTTTTTCTTATCCCTAGTACACGCGGTACAGGCCATGATAATCATGGTGGGTAGAAATAGGTTACTGCTTTTACTGTAAGTGCACCACATCTCTACACATGTGAACTACACTTTTCTCAACCTGCTATCAAAGTGTAGGAGAATGTGAACAACAACAAATATTGGAAGGTAATATTAAACTATTTTAAGAATAAAAATCTATAAATGAAGATTACAAAGAATGTTTTTAAGAACTGTAAAGATTACCGAGACACACAGGAAATATTCCAATCCAAGTACACTATGCAAATATTCCACCATGCAATAAAGGCCAATCAGAGTTTGGAAATCTTCCAGTTTCTCTATACAAACTCTACCAAAGGTCGCCGAGATAATAAAAACCACCAACTTTTCTAACTTTATAAAAATTCTACCAATCCGTTAATTATCACCAATTAAAGAATATCTGCAAACCTTATCTATTTGGTGTTTTGCAAACTTTCTGCCTTGTCTATTTGGTGTATAATTTGATGGCCATTTTTTTTTTAGTAATCTCTAAAACTTTTTTTCTGCCCTTTGTGAATACCTAATTCAATAATAAGGCCACACATATATATTTTATTTAAAGGCACTTATATTGTGTGTGAGTATAAAGGTATTACATATCTATCTATGCAAAATAGGAGTATAAAACAACAGATTTCTGGAGATGAGTTTATTTTTAATTAATGTAATCTTTGAGGCATCCCTGCCCTTTTACAGGAGTATATAAAACGAATAATGACATTTATTATTATTTATTTTATGCAATCCCCCGTAGAAGGATAGAGATACCCGAAAGCTTGAGATAACATTAATAAAAAGACACTAATCTCCAGAAACCAGTTGTTTTATTTTAATATCACAATCACACACAAGCCTTTATTAAAACATTCCGTCTTATACAGACGATTCTCCTGTTAGAAATGAATCTAAAAAGAAATGAGAAGCAGGGGAAGAAACTGAATCCTCGCCCAGAAAAGAGAAAAAGAAGAAAAGGAAAGAATATCTATGTACAAAAGACTATATACATCGTTTTTCGTGCATAGAACACAGTGAAGAAGTAGACTATTGAGTAAATGGTTGCATCTTGTGAAGAAAAAAAAAAGTTTATTTTAATATATATTTAGGAGATTAAAATCAGGAAAAAGAGTATGAAATACATATAATTGGGGTATATACAGTAGAGCACCACCTATACATAGAGTATATTGAGTACCTAAAGATCCTTTTCCAGGAATTGATATTTCTACACTGAGGAAGGAATGTGTCAAACACTATCCACACATAATATGTGGAATTACAAACACACAAAATCTCGGGGTGTTGGTGGGCTCTCTTTAAGGGTGCTCCGTCACAAGAAATAAAATTTCAAAGTAAAAAAAAGTTTTGTTTATTATTTTTATTCCATATTCATATAGTTCTCCTGTATAAAGTCCTTCTTTAAGCCCGAAAGCTAGAGAGATCTAATATAATATTTAAAAGAAACTCATCTCTCGATGATTTGATTTTCTTTTTAATTTTTAAAATTAGTAATAATAATATATGGCGCGTGCTATACTAATCGGACACAAGGAGAAAACAACTTAAGATCAAAACAGGTTCGCTAACGACGAAAGACCGAAGAAAATTCTCCCTTTGAATTCAACAGCAAGATTTGCAATGACCTGAAATTCTAAATATACTGACTATCCTATAATACAAATCTAATACATTCATTTTAATGCCGACAATATGTAAAATAGAAAAATTTGAAACATTCACTCACTCATTATATATATTTTAAAATAGAGCAATCCATATTTAAATCTCTATATAGTATTAGCAAACAAATCTTTTTATTTAATACAATATATACTTGTATATTCAATATTTCAGGAGGATGGTATTCATGTATCAGAAGTGACATCTTTCCCTTTAAACAGGTTCGATTTTGTCTGAATTTGCCTAAACTGGTGTTGTGGATCATTCTTTATTACCACCTTTATGTTTTACTAGACGAATGGCCCGGGCAACGCCCGGGTTTTACCCGAGTGCGTATATATTTTTAAAACGTTTTAATTCAAATACTATTCGTTACAATTATAAATTGGCGCCATGGATGTCACTCTTGTGAAACGTCGCGTTCCAAACTGTGTGTTTTTAAAACGTTTTAATTAAAATACTATTCGTTACAATTATAAATTGGCGCCGTGGATGTCTCTCTTGTGAAACGTCCCGCCCCAAACTGTGTGTGTCTTGAAAATATAAAAATAAAAATGTGAATTTTCATAAAGATTATATCATGTCGATTTTTTTTTTTGCATTTCACCTACTAAATCGATAGAGATAATTACATTTGCAACATGAACTTAGGTATATTGACTAAATAGAAAACTGCATAGTAATAAAGATCGTTTTTTTTTCAATAAAATCGAAACAAAAATTAACGATAATTGCCTTAAAAAAAAGAAACATTCGTGGTGATTTTGTCTTGCATTCGTTTATACAATTATTATATACGAATGACCGGGCAACGCCCGGGTTTTACCCGATTAAATGCTTTTGTTCAAATACTATTCGTTACAATTATAAATTGGCGCCGTGGATGTCATTCTTGTATAATATATAAATGAGTTTTAAAAATTGTAAAAAAAAAAAAAATGCATCGGCCGGGAATCGAACGCCCGCGTGGCAGGCGAGCATTCTACCACTGAACCACCGATGGTTATGAAAAATCCCATCCGTGAGCTTCAGACAAACAGACAAACAAACAGACAGAATAAGGCAAATATATAAGTAGATACTGGAATGATAAGCCTGATGCATTTATATTTAATTAATTTTAATTAAATTAAAATACATTTTAATTCTACAAAGCTGCCTTCAATGGCCGGAGTGGTTCATGGAATCCGACGACTGAGTGTTTGGGCACCGACTGTGACACTCGCTCCCTCCGTGCTAATATGTTAATACTGTAATATGTAAATATGTAAACTGATTTGTTGACATTCTCCTCATTTCAGGGAATCTGTATAAGACTAATGATCTTAATAAAGTTTTTGTGTGTGTTTTAATGCATTTTAAAGGGAGAGGTGCCACATTGGGAGCTGAACGAAGTTATAGGAAACCATTTATTTAAGGTCAGAGAAAGCTGTATTCCGGACAGGCGAGCTGTCTTTGTTGTGGAAGGTATTGTATAATGGATGAGGTTGGAGGCTTGATGGTTCCCTCCTTCTTTTTACCGCACAGAATGTTTTCAGATCGATTTTCTTCCGTTAAATGTCCTTCACCGTGTCTCCTATAGATCGTCCTTTTGTTCCCTTGCCACAATCAGGTCCAACTTACTTCAAACAATTGTCACAAAAACCATGAGTGATAGCGAAGGTAAGGATAAAAAGGCTTTAATATAATAAAACAGTCATCTTATTCATTTATTCGCTTGAGAACGCACTTGCATCCTTAGAATAATTTTTAACGCTTTGCTAAATGATTTTTGTTCGCTCCTGACGAGGACAAAAGATTTTTGTCGAAACGTCGAGATGATTAAAGATTTACTGGCCGAAGTATCTTTATTTTCAAGAACTATGAATGCCGCCGGCCAGGCAGCCTCTATCTTTATGATCTTATTCATGTAAAAGAGCAGCGGGACAAGGTGTAAAGTGGATGATAACATTAAAGATTAATATAGCCTCTGTTATTTTATTTCAATAAGGGATTTATGGAGAACTGGTATATACCAGCGGGGAAGGAGTTTTTCCCGCCCTCTACAATCACTCTAGAGGGGAGTGAGTTGAGAGGCGTCTCTGCGTGTTGTCCTCCGTCGGGGTGCCACTGACTGATGTCCAGTGAAGCTGTAAGCTGGCCGTCTGTCCTTGGTTGTCTGAGGCGAGGCGCACGTGTCTTGAAACTCTTGGGTCTTCGCTCTGTGTGTGCGTCATTGGGAGCGTCCTTGCCGTGCGCACCATGAGAAACCAAGGGGTGCACACAGTAGTACCACCCCCCCGCGTTCACGACGTTCCCTGCGTCAACCTCAGTTCCTCAGAGGTCCTTGATTCGACGGCAGATTCAGGGAGTACTGGATAAGGGTTCGAGGGCTAAAGGGGGGGGGAGTCCTATTGGAGCGTAGGACGGGTGGCTCTAAGTCCGAACGGGAGGGCTCGGTCAGCAACCTTGCCAATGAACTCTCGGAGACGCCTGTGGGTGAGTGGTCAACCCCATTGTAGCCGGACCATACTGGCGGGCGCGAGGGGCCTACCAAAGGCCGCTCGGTGCATGGAGAATGCATCATTCCTTCTGGCTGTGTGACGTGGTTTTTCAGCGAAAAACCAGGGGATGCAAGGGCTTTTGCTGCCTATATCGTCCCTGGCTTTGCCGAATTTCTATTCTGGTATATACCGTCGACTTCCACAATCTTTTGTCCCGGGATCGAATCTGGACTTTTTTATTTTCTGCTTTAAATGGCTCCCCGAGTCTTGAAAAAGTCCGAACTACACCAGTGAATGCAAATAGTCAAATGGAATTCGGGCACCTGGTAAGTGTATGCGTAGACATATGATGTACTTACTAAGGCTAAAAAAATACTATAAATTAGCTACTTACCCTCCATGATTACCATGACTTCTATTAATACTATATGTACTTCTGAATACTGTATGCACAATTGAGATAAGTAAAAAAAAGACCTCTCGTGACCACTCAAGAAAAATAAAAATTGTTTGAAAGTGTTCTCCGTTGATGAGCCAGGCCCTTTTCTTTTCTTATCTGAGTTGATATGCGTAGATATGTAGTGTAATTGCTGTAAAAGGCAATAGCTAACTACCCTTAATGCTTATAATGACTTCTACTATATGTACAATTGAGATAAATAAAACAAAAAATGGAAACTCTCGTGAGAGACCACTCAAGACACATAAAAATTCTTTGGAAGTGTTTGTTCATTAAAAAAAAAATTGAAATTAATCTAAACTCGGATAAAGAAAGAAATTTTGGGAAGGCCTGGCTCATCAAGGGAGAACACTTGCAACAGTTTCGTTTGTCAGACGGCTACTGTTTACTTTCTACTTGTATATATAGATCAATGATACCACCACTAACAGTTACAATATTCTCAAAACACCATGATTATCATGACCCGTACAATAGGTATATACTATGAATAACAATAAAGCTGCCAATAACACATTTTTTTCAATTATTCTATATACAGTTACGAGCGTCATGCGTTCTTAATAATTCTTCATCTCTGTCACCGTTTGCTTTTTTTTTTGGAATGGCGCTCTCCTATTGGTTGGCTACGATCACACCACCTTTGCCCCCACTCGCTTTTTGGTTTTTGTAACTATTGTGTTGGAGCGGGTCGCTCCTTAAATAAATGCATATATTAGTTAATAACCAAATGGAATCCTCTCTTTCTTTTTCCCTGTAAGAGACGCCTACGGAAGCCAACAGTACATAGACAGATAAAGCACATAGGCTATAGTTATTAACTAAAATATGCATTTATTTAAGGCGCCAATTTATAATTGTAACAAATAGTATTTGAATCAAAACATTCAATCGGGTAAAACACGGGCGTTGCCCGGGTCATTCGGCTAGTTATCGAATAAAGATCATCTTTATATTATATATAGAAGTATTTGCCCGTTGAAGAGCAGAAATTTTGCTCGAAAACTTGCGAAAATCAAAATTAAAAGAAACTCTTTACCTGAATTTTATTTATTCTTCTTTTTTCAAATAATTTCTAGATAACTCTTGCCCACATAAAGCTATAAAGAGTTAAGGTAAGTCAAGCCGTGTCTCTACCCATGGTTCTCCAAGTGTACCCCACACACAATTGAATTACTATGGCAACCTTGGCCATGTGCCCAGGATGTGACGTCAGGGAAATAAATGCTTACCGGAAGTTGGCAGTTTCGAGGTCAAAAACGTTTTTTTTTTTTTTTTGTTTCTAACTATTTTTATCTTTTGAATGATTTCTCGTTTTTTTCAAAAAAAGGTTCACATTTTAAATAAGTCTGTTTTATGTTCTGTGACGTCTGAAGGTTGAATGTGAACATGGACTATTGACCATATTGAAATGTCTTTTTGTGTTCAACAAACACACGTGGTGAGTTAAGGGGCGTGGTAATTATAGGGGGAGGATTCGGACATCTCTGCCCTTCTACCGGAGAACATAAAAAAAAAAAAAAAAACGAATAAAACGCCGCTTGATTCTAAACTATTACAAAAATCTATAAAATCTATTTGTAATAGTTTGACAGATTTTTGTAATAGTTTAACATCAGACAGCGTTTTATTCGTTTATTTATGTATTCCTGTAGAAGGGCATAGAGATGCCTGAATACTTGAGACTACATTAATAAAATGAAAAAAAAAAAAAAACTCATCTCCAGAAATCTGTGTAATATTGTTTAATTAACCAATACATATCTAATAACATAAGGTTGAGCGGGACAAAGTCGGCGTGAAGATATCTAATTTGACGGGAGATCAATATCAGAAATTGATCGATGGATCTTCGATTTTTATCTTGAAGCCTGGGATTTGCCGTCGTCTGTTTTAAATGGGCTCTTCCCTCCTTTTGTCCTCTGCTCCATAATTCATCGGCTGGAGTAGGGGGACTTTCTACGGCCTTACTGGAGTGTGTTTGTAGTCTCTCACTTTCCTTTAAACTATTCTCATAATGGTTCTTATTTATAAATATGGAATATATACAGTTAAACCTGTCTATAACGCCCCCTCTAAATAGCGCCTCCCTCTCTATAGCGTCCGATTTTAAATACGTAGTACGATGCGATTTACATTAAAAGTGACCTGTCTATAGCACCCCCTCTCTATAGCACCCTATTTTGGTGAGTCCCAAGAGGGGACGCTATAGACAGGTTTAACTGTATATTAATCTTAAGTGAAAATTGATCTATGCGATATCTCTGTTAATCATAAGACAATATGATATATGTCTTTAAAAAAGACACTTCAGCCAATTTTTATTTTCTTAATGTTTCAACAAAAATATTTCTCCTGACGAAGCCAAAATATTTTTGTTTGAAACGTTAAGAAAATAAAACTTTAACTGGCCGAAGTGTCTATTATCAAAAAGAACTATGAATGCTGACCAGGCAAACTCTTATCTTCAAGATGATATATCTTCTTTTTTCTTCTTCTTTTTATCTCAGACAACCATCATGACTGGATAAAGTAAAATGTATCTACCTTTGTCATCAAGATGGGAGCACTACTCAGTGGCAGGTCGACTTAGTTCCAAAAGAAATAGCCGCCTCTGACATGAGGAACAGACGCCATGTACAGCTGTTCCTAACATGGAGTACAGACTCATCCTGTATCCCTGAATTAGGAGCTTTTACAGGGTACTATCAGCCGGGCCAGCTGAGCCCAGGTTTTTTAGTGAGCTTGTTACTGCTCCCCTTCATTCTTTATCATCCGGGCTTGGGACCGGCAAAGGCGGAGTTATAATGATACTAGCCGAATGACCCGGGCAACGCCCGGGTTTTACCCGATTAAATGTTTTATTAAAATACTATTCTTTACAATTATAAATTGGCGTCGTGGATGGCACTCTTTTGAACGTCCCGCTTCAATCTTTGTGTGTTTTTAAAATACAAAAATAAAAATGTAAATTTTCACAACGATATTTGTAAATTGTATTATTTAGATTTTTTGTATGAATATATTTTAAATCTGATATATACATAAAATGATATGATA